CACTCAGATGTAGTTTAAAATTTAGAACCTTCCTCCTGCCTAGCTTGGTACTTATTTGTAACAAGCTAGGCAAGGGGAAGGTTCTAAATTTTAAGCTAGCCCTGAATAGATTTTAGATAAGAGGTAATGCCGATATTCAGCTGAACGTATAGCAGCTGCAGGACTTTTCATTAGATAACACAAATGCTAAGCGCCGGATTCCTTGACTTGTTGATTCTCACGTTCTTCCCTAATTTCCGCATGTTGTCCTAAAGTAATTGATTTCTCAGCTCGCTTTTCTATAGAATCATTCTTCTTCCGCTAGGTTTCCGGATGTGAGAACAAATCCACAATTTTTCCCTTCTCCGAGACTTCATTTCCTCTTAGGTCGTAAGCCTTTTCTCTCATTTACTTACTCCATAACCAACTCAAAAGTTGTGTCACTCAATTTATTACGATGCTTATTTCAATTGATAGTAGATTATTAGAATATTAGAGGTGGGGTCCATGCACGTGCTTTGCCTAATAGCCTTAGATAAGCAAAAACCTAAAAATTCAGTAATTTCTTGGTCATTATCTCATCAATTCAAATGACAATTTGTAGAAAAACCGTCTCCAGCACCAGCACCATCTCCTACTCCCCGTCAGGAGATCAGCAATTTTATTGCAAAAACTTCCGTAGAGCCGTTTGATAAAGAGAAGTTTATGGAAGAGTTCAAGAAGAGACTTACTGCATTGCCGGAATGGTACAAAAAAACAGTCACAGACACGCAATCAACGAATATTTCGGAAAGTTTCGAAGTTGGAAAAAGCGGTAAGTCATTTTTCAAGAATTTTTGTTACTCAATAGTCCAATAGAAGTAAATTTATTGATCTGAGTTCCCAACAGAGAACAATTACTATGGTCATGTTCAATTTATTTATGAATGATTAAGTCAACTTATTACAGCGAAAAGTCAAACACCATTGTTCGACGTCTTCTCTCAGTCTACGCAAAAATTTGACAAGCAGAAGTTCAGAGAGGAATTCAAGAAGAAACTTACTGCTTTGCCGGAATGGTATAAGAAAACTGTTACAGATAGGGAATCACTGGATGTCTCAGAGAAGAACGGAGCCGGAACAAGCAGTAATTTTTCGAATTATCCAGTGTTAAAAAAAAGAAATTTGTTAAATTTTTTTAGCCACTACACTTCAAGATGTTGACGATTC